TGATGCATAAATCGGCGACTGAAGCTGGATTTATCATAACGTTCTTTGTCTGTTGACAGTGGTATCTATGAAGATCTAAGGTTTCCGCGGCAACTGAAAGCTTTGGATCCTTTCTTTTTTAATGAAAATTTTCTTAGTTCCAAGAAATTTTGACATAAAAAGAGGAAGAAAATGTGACGATAAGATACTAGACAAGCACATTTCTGACAACTAATCAGGGATGCCGGAAGTTTTTCAAAAATCTAGTATCTATTTTTATATCCTAGAAGCAGTGCGGCAGGACTGCTAGAGCATTTTCAGCGTCAGCTTAGTCAATCGACTTTCATATCTGGTTATGAAGTATTGAATGATGTTCTCATTTCTATTATGACAAGTGCTGTCTTTACTAGTATATTTTTGTTTTTCTTATTAATTTTAGATAAAATGTAAACGAAAGAAGAAAAAAATATGCCGATGAAATGATATTAAAAAAAAGCACCAACTATGTAAGAAAACTAAATATTAATTAGTCGTCAATTTTCAACGAAACATGACCAAATGAGTATTAAAAATTACATAAATGAGATCATTAACCTTAAAAAGTTGAATTCTAATATGATAATTAAACCAGCATCGGATTCTATGTTCTTTCAATCCATATCATCTTAATTAATCTGAAACTACGGAATATTTATACCTAAAAAAGAAAAGTACTTTTCTTAATGGGAAACTTCTTTTTATTACTCACTGGTTGTTTTTATCTGATGATCATACATAAGATGATTATTATCAACGAGAAAATAAAGTTATTTTATTTTAGTTCACTAATTAATCTGACAGTAAATACTGATAGATAAGTAATATTCACTTTGAACAGTTGAAAAAGAAAACAGCTAGACAAAAAAAAAAATCAAAAAAATTGAATACTACTTTTCATTTTATTAATAATATTTATTTCATATTCTGTTTTCTTTTTAAATATATCTAATGAAAAACTTTACATAACATACAAAAAAAAAAGAAAAAAAGAAAAATTGAATTTATATTATTTTCACAATTGAAATCAAGCAAATAGAAGGCGAACTTGATCGCCTGAACCATAAAGACCAAGATAAAGTATCCATGGAAATGGACATTCAATAGGAGATATATTAATTTCATGTGTTATTGATGTTGTTTTATTTGTTAAACGTATGATTTTTTTATCACAATCAATAAATACTTCGATTATATGATTTATGTCAAATTCACATATATAACCATTATATTGATGATGATGAATACCATTAAGCCAAACTTGATGATGACCTGCCCAACCATATACAGTTGGAGTTTTATATAAATTTGCTTGTGAAGGTATATTTTTTGATATAATACCAAAAAAGATCCATTTAGGTATACCTAATTTTTCAACTTGAAAATGAAATGTATAAATACCAGAATAATATTCTTTTTTTCCACGAATTGTTGCATCACCATTTGATGGACCATGTAAAACAGTGAAATCATTATTTATAGTTTGAATATCACCAACAGCTTGATGAAATGAATCAAGTGATATATGTGAAAGTTTTATTTTATTAATAAATGAATTATTATTTTCATCTAATATTATATTTATTGTTTTAGGTATTTGAAAATCATTTTTAAAATTATTAAGTTTATCTAACCAAAATTTTATATCAGTTTCAATATAATTATTTTGTGTACGAACTTTATTTAATTGTTGACTTATTTCTGTAAATAATTCATTCATTTCAATTGTATGTTTAGTAAAAACATATTTTAATTGTTGTCGAATATCATTAGCTGTTTGTTGAATTTTAAGAATTGATTGTCGTTCCCAATCATCGATTTTTTTCATAAGTAAATTATTAGAAAAATTTTTTGTATCATCAATAATTATTTGTTGAATACGATTATGATATAAAAAAACTTTTTCCATTTGTTTTGTTAAATTTTCTTCATGTTTTATTGAATGATAATTAGAATATTTTTGTTTACAATTTTCACAAAATTTATTACGTGATACATTACAATGTGCACAATAGGGTTGCTTTGCTGTTGGTAGTGAAGACATGATCATGCGTCAAATGAATAAGAACTGAAGAGAGAAGGAAATTAAATTTTTTTCTCTTCTTACATAAATAAAAAAAAAATGTCAAGTGTCAAAAGAAATCGTAATTCTTCTTAATGAAAGAATCTAAAAGCAAAATCATAGATAAATATTTATAAAGAACTGCGTAATTATCGCCAACAAAAGTCAACATTATACAGAAAAATGCACTTTATCAATGATAATATATTTTTTCAAGAAAAAAAAGCATCATCCAAGCCTATGATAGAAAACAATGATGGCATCATTGTGTTCATCCTCAACATTCAACACAATTTGAAGTCATAGACAAACTTAATCGATTGCCGCTAAAACTGATCGAATACTTTGAATAGAAAATAAAAAGCAACAACTACAGACAAATCACTAACCTAGAACGGCTTGGATGTATCAGTCATTAATAATTAGAATATTTGAAAACTACACTAAAAAATATAACAGAAGACAAAACTCAAAATATATATAATATTTTTTTCTTGGCAAAGATTATATGTAATAATTCAATCGTATAGATAATTTCTTCTTGATTTGTTTTTTTTAGTCCCACTGGCTATTTCTCTTCTATAAGTGTTATTTTACGTCTATAATATAAGATATAGATCAGATCAATAAAAGATTCTTTCTAAAAATCTAATCGCCTAATAAGCTTTTGTTTTTTCTCCTCGTCGAAAAATTATGTAGAGAAGAATCAGTTGTAAAATTTTTTCTCACTATAGTACAAAAATATGTATATGATTTTGTAATCTATTATTCATAAGAAAAAAAAGAAACTAATAGTTAAATTTTTTTGTATTCAGTAGTTTTTCAAGCTTTTCACAGGAATTTTTGCGTAAATAATAACTCACCGTTACTATTTGACATGAAGATAATTAAATTTTGTCCTTCATTTTTCTTTTATTTATCTTTACCAATTCTAAAAAGTAGAAGAGGATTTAAGTATTAACATTAAAGAAAAGAAAATAATGATCCTCGAAAGCATATTACAAGATTGTCAAGGACACAAAACAATTTCCACTCTCTGATTCATTAATCTTATACTCATTGAAATAATTTATAACGCTTGCTGAAGACAGTGACATCGGAGACAACTAAAAAAGAGTTCTGTATTCTCATTCTGAATATATTCAAAAAGATACCTTTACACAGTATATAACAAGTGATGCAAAAATCTTTGCAAACAAAAAAATGTAAAATCTTTAAACTATATTGTTCTATCTATACTACGGAGTTTTGATAGAAGTTAAGAATATCAGATGCCATCTCCAGGAACTACGCATGAACTCCTTTTTTTTTCTTCATCATTTGTATCAAGCATACTAGAGGATAAAAGCTTTGCAAAAAAGACAAAAAAATACTTCTTACCGTTCCCAAACAATAAGATATTGAGCATGAGCAAATTATTCAGTCTATTTCAGAAAAAACAATGTTTTTGTTTAAAAAAAAAGACGAAGAAGTGTGCTTTTTTCATATAAAAAATTTGCATTGATTAGCAAAAGAAATAGTGCGATGATGATTTAGCAAGAATTCCAATAGAAGTATTTGTTTTTTTGTCTTTTATTCCGTCTCGAATTCATTCTGCACAAATACAGAATGATCCAAAAATCACTTTACCGAGAAAAAATTGAATATCATTGATAAAAACTATTTTGAAGTAACACTGTTGACTTCAATAGAAAACAATTACCTTTCATAAGTTATAAAAAAAAGACAAAATATTCTCATAACCAAAATAAAAGTCAAATTCATTCACTGTTTAGTCTCATATTGATACTACAAATACATGTTTTGTTTCTCACTATGTTCTGAAATTTCAGTCATAAACATTGACAAAACTGCAAATGTGTCTTGTTGAAGCCAAAATTCGTTATAATACTTGTCTTGTTATCATTTCTTGGATGATATTTTGTTAATTATTGAAATAGTTTGAAGGTGGGGAAATTTCTGACTTTGCAAAATTTAAAGTAGACTAAAAATGATAGCGGGATAATTATCACAAGAAAATTTCCTCTTCGTCACATAAGAGCACATAGGACACACTGATAATTTTTTCAATAAGTTCTCATCGTTTAGGACTAAAATTTTCAGTGTACAATTTGTAACAAAACATGAATCTTTAATATAAATATGAGACTAAACGATAATTGTACGGAAAACTGCTCGGAAAAAAATTAGCTGCATTGTTGATTTTAGCCGTTGGAATACATTAGCTTTTTTTTTCAGAACTTCTGAATTGCATTTAGGTCAACGGTGATACTTCAAAACAGTTTTGTCAACGTTTTTTCTTATGAATATGAACTAGAGACACAATTTTATCAGTGATGAAAAAGTCCTTCTATTTGGTCAAAATATGACGATGATATTCAATTTTTTTCTCTGTTAAGAAGTGACATTTGGATCATCCTGTATATATATACTATAAGAGTTGTAGTTCTAGCATTATTCTTTCCAATAGCAAAGAATTTAAATGATTTTTTTGAAGTGAGCAATACGATTGAATAAAATTTGACATATTCTTTTTTTACAGAGAAAGAATAAAGTGGACACTTTTGAATTAAAATACAAATGAGTAAAATTTTTTGTGTTACAATCGTACGATTTCAAATCCGAAGTTTCTTTTTTTTTGTCTTTTATCAATTGTTAATGAAAATAATCAAAGATATTATATAAATCAATTCTAATTTTCAATTTATTCATCATTAACACTTGATTGACTTTCATTTATTATTTAATATCGTCTTCTATCAATCAGGAAAAGCTAAATAACTAAAATATTGTCGTTTCTTGTGTAATTTCATTGAATATGTAGTTCGTCTATGTTTATCTAGCTTTCATTAAAATTACAAAAAAAAGCACTCTTGTGAATTAAGAAAATATACATAAAAAAGAAAATTGTTAAAACTTCTATTTAGCAAGACATAGGAAGTATTTCAGAAAGAGCTCTAACATAATATGTACCATTTCCAATCGAAGGAATAAGAGATGCACCATTTTCACTAGATTCATTCCAAGCATAGACAATAATTGTTTGAGCTTCAGTTATATTTTTATTCATACAAGTTAATTGAATTGAATTTTTAAAAAAGTTTTGTAATTCTTCTGCAGTTGGCTGTAAGAAATGTTCTGGACCTTGATTAACCCATGGTACAGGATGTTCATATCGTGGTCGTGGATCCCAACCAGTTGGAAGAGTTATCACAACTTTAGCTCCACTTTGAATAGCAGCATTCCACCATCTATTAGAGGATTAAAAAAATATAATATGTTGCACCTTTTCGAATAACTCTCTAAGGCAAAGGCACAGAAGTGATTGATCACGTTGAATCAAATAGTGAGGTTTTTTTTCAGTTTCAGACCAATCCATAACCATGGTATTCAGTTTTCGAAATATCAATTGTTGCCATTGTAGAGCAGAAAAATTGGAAACTTCGGAAGCCTGAATATCATGATTAGGGATTTGTCTATAGCTGAAAAATAACCTCATTGTTCGACTCAACGTGATTGATCATCCCTCTCTGGACATATTTTCAGATGATCCAAGATCAACTAGCCAAAATCTGAGATCTTTAGAAAACAAAAGTACAAATGAGAAATGTCAAAGAACAACATTATAATTTTACAAAGATCCTTCTGAAAACCCTCTAGAAATCCAGAAAAGGCGCGGAGTATCTTCTTTTTTTTGAATACTATCATAGTTGATATAATTGTTAATTTATTTTAAAAAAAAAGAACTAGTAATAAAAACCAATATGACTTACTGTTCACTTCTTTGAACTTCATCACTGAATGGAGAACCCTAAATGAATCTTTTAGTATTCTAATAAATTAGAGAATGTTTACTTCTATAGTGCCACCACCACCTATTCCATACGATGATATTGCATCAAATCCAATAGCAGCAGCATTAGTTTTACATCTTTCTATATCTCCATCCATCAAAACCATATATGGATTTTTTAAACCTAAAATAATAAATAATAGCATTCATAGAAATCTAATTGTTAAAGAAAACTTCACCTCGATTTATAACTTTTTGTCGAAAATTATTAAATACTTGTCCACTACCGTGCCATCCACCGCCACAAAGTTGTGCTTCTTCATCATCAAATTGAAATAAATATAAAAGTGGTCGTCCATCTAATACAGTTTGAAATTGAGGATGTATCATAAATTCAATATAAGATTCTTGAAATTTATCATCACAAGGTGATGAACCTAATAAAACAAAAGTAAAATTAATTAATGAAACATATTGACTTGATAAATATCGATTTAATCCATAAGCTGGATTTTGAGGACAATATTGATTAGATGTTTGTTTATAATATTGAACACAATATGAAGAATTTGTTGTGCAATTAGGTCCAAATGCACAATAAGTATCAAATGCCCAATAATCAAAACCTGCAAATTTTGCATATAAAATTTCTTCATCCATTATTTCTTGAGTATCACCATTAATAGTAACATTAGTATCCGAATTAATTTTAGCAAAAAATGGTAAACGATAATGAAAATGTTCTGGACTCATAGCTCGATGAGAATAATATGATATTGCATCATATTGTCCATTGATTAAATTCCAAGCATCCCAACGAATTATGCCTACTGTTGGACGATTTATTTCATTTATTTCAGCATGAGATACAAAAGGCCATAGAAATAAATATATACAAAAAACATTAAAAACTAACCACATTTCAAACGTTTATTTTTTATTCTATTTGAAGCTGAATCTATATCAGTGTTTATCTATAACGTTATCTAATATTTGTTCAAGTTTTTCTTTGCATGATGAGATTAAACAGACAAGGGTCACAATAAAGCATAGACAAATAAATCTGATCTAAAATATTAAAGATAAAAATTCGATGTTTTCAATTCGAAAATATTCTGATATGCTTAAATATTGTTATTTAAGCATACGAATTACTAAAATGAATATTAATATGAGAGAGATTTCGTCAGAAAATTAAAAATTGCAACAAAGAGTAGATGTTTGTTTCCAATTTCAACTATATAGTTGGAAAGACGATGCATTCTGACCGACAAGGCGACAGTTTTTTCGACTTAAAGTTCTTGCAAGAAAATTTTACACCATACAAACTTTTAGCAATTTTCCGGTCATTATATCTTTTTTATCCACTTATTCACTATGCTCTATTTAGATATTTTTTGTGAAATCGACTAGAGCGGTCGAGTTCATTCAAGCTTCATTTGATAGATCTAGCGATGCTCTACAGTGTAAGAGATCACAAAACCTTATTTTTCTTAGATTTAATCCTCTTGTAAATTCATGTATTCTCTCTTCGGAATGTTTTAACTTATCTCGTAGAGCTTTTCAAGCTGCGCGCATCTAATCATATAAAAATCAACATCTAGAAAATTTATTAACACTTCAAAAAATGACCTAGACTCAAATGTCTGCAATAATTCCAATATCCACATACAATCAATTATTAGATTATTATCATATATTGACATCCAATAGTTCTGATCTATAAATGAACTAGTTATATGCATAACACATAGTTACTATCAAAATTATTCAATAAGGTTTATTTTCACTTTTTTTTCTGCAATCATGAATGTTAAAACAAATCCAACTGATAAATACAGTAGAGAAAAGTGTTCACAAAAAAAAAAGATAAAGAAATAAATGTGATTTCGAAATTTCCAAAGATGGAGTCTTTAGAAAGCCTACTTTCTTAGCACCTAGAACGCATAAATATAATTTTGTTCTGACTGCATAGAATGATAGAGCAAAGAATTTTCTACAAAATGAGATGTCTTCAAGCTCTTTGTGATGTTTTTTTAGCTTAGATACAACAATCTGATTGAAGACTCAAAAGTGGTTTTTCTAGTGGAAATAGTACATTGATGTATTGCCTTTAGACTAGGTATTCAAGCAGATATCTTTGTTTCTATTTTTTTTCCAGCTACTCCACCACTACCACAAAATAATTATTCAATAAATGATTCTGTCTACACATCGGACAAACAAGTTATTCAACTTTTTCCTTTTCATGTTTCTATCAATTCATCTCAACCTCAACCGTCACCGCCTCGTTCCTGTTATGCCCTAGTCGATACGAACGGTCGTGCGACCGAACTGAGTCTGGTTAATATTCCAAATGTTCCATCTGCTCTTTTCTGTCTACAAAATTTGCAAGTACTCTCGTTTGTAGATTGTGTTGACCTATCAATCCCACCTGAAATCCTTCGCCTTGCTTTCACCCTCAAATCTTTTACTTTATCCAACACTTCGAAATCTCTCATTCTTCCATGTGAATTGTTTAATATGACTCTTCTATTGGCACTCTCTATTATTAACTGTGGTCTGGAAATACTTCCAGAAGATATCGTCTACGTTGATAAACTCATTCAACTGATCCTTGACCAAAATTGATTTGCCACTCTTCCTGCTACATTGATTAAAATATCGTCTTTTACCTCTTTATCTGTCAACAGCAATCTTTACCTGTCCTCACTCGATGTTGCCAATGGATTAAAATCGCTTACAACATTGTGAGGATCGAATTGCAAGATTAATCATCTCCCAAGCAACATTTCTAATCTGCATACAATTGAGATGGATGAAAATCAACTCATATCTCTCGATGGTATTGAAACAATTGCATTAATTTCTGGTGATTTTGTTTTTATTTAGAAATAACAAGATCACATCCATTTCAACCAATTCTTTAGCCAGTATTATAGTCTTCAATACTTGGGTTTTTCCAACAATCTACTCACAACGCTGTCTAATCCACTCTACCGAATCGAATATTTGCAGACACTCAACATTCACAATAACAATTTCCACGAAAAAGAAAGTGAATGGATTCAAGGACTATTTCGACTCACGAACACTATCGTTATTATGTGATATCATGAAATTTTGTAGAAGACAATGATAATTGCTGATCGATCGTTGAATCAAAGCATTTATAAAATGAGATTGAAAGTTGGCAATCAGTAATAAAATGATTTGTGAGGCAAAACTAGCATGAAAGAAGACTTCATTTTTATAAATACTATTACGCGTGCACTTTTCAGTTCTTACTCATATCCATTCTCATAGAAACCATATTAAAGATATTTTTTCCTGGTCTGTCGTAATGTTACTGTCAGGAACAGAACGAGTAATCTGTTCTCGAATTTGGTCATCTTAGATTCCAAGTTAAGAACTAATTCTAGAAATTAGTTCTGTTTCAAAGAAGAGTACATTTGATTCATTTGGAATCGACTTGTCAATTGACAATCAGATTCTGTCTTAAGTCTGTCTGAATCAAACCAATCTCAAAAGGTTCGTTGATTGATTATAACATCATCCTTGACTTTTTGTCATCAAATGAATTATGTCGATTGAATCAAATATTATATTATTAATGTTCAGAAACGATTGACTTTTTTTATCATCAATACTGTACGATCAGTTTTCTTCGAACCGGCAATAGTTTACTTCACTTATTGTTTTTCGTATTGAGCATGAAATTCTGTTCGAATTCATCACTATCTACTTCATTATCGAACTGATACAATGAGAATCAAAAGAATACTATCATCTTATCTCACATCCAGAGTCCTCTAAACTGGAAGAAAGAGAATCTTTATACGACAACGAGATAGTCTTATTGTTTACAGTCGGTAGCAAACAAAATGCAACTTCTAAATCTATTATATCATGACGTCTTTATCTCGTTTTTGCATTTATTTATTATGTCGATGAAATATTTTTTTTTCTTTTGCAGAACGGTGTTTTCGTTCTTCACCTTTGTTTTCTATTTTTGAGTTTATCTGTAAGTCACGAGCAAGTAGAAGAAAAAAAAACCAGCAATCTGTGATTTTATAAAATGATGCAAGTTTATACGTCTTGAAGGTGTAAATCTTCCCCACATGCATACCCTTACCCATACGCTCACATCCTCTAGTTTTCTTCGTCCTAATCCTACCATTATCCAACATTTTTCTCATTCTAACTCTAACGTACTTTGCATGGCAGGATGAAATAGGATTTAACAACACAGTTCAAGCTAGCAGTTAGATCAATGATAAAATAAATAAAAATAATTAAAGAAACCGAAATAAAAACAGTGAACAATTAGCGAATCCATAACAAAAAACACAAGAAATTTCTATCTAAAATGAAAAATATAAATAAGATAGAAGATTTCTCTGATATTTTACTATAATTTGAGGGCAATGTAATTTATAGAAAATCGTTCACGTGTGATAAATTAGCTCAAAGGGACTGAATGAAAGAACTCTGAAGCATACCGATCTTATGTTAATAGCTACAGCAAATGGTGCTGGTAGGAAAGATATCGAGTTTATGAAACTACCGTTTCGGCAGCATCCCACTCGAAGATATTGGAAAATAAACAAAGACCCAGAAACACTTTTGGGATCTCTACTTCTCTAAGAGACAAATACCATTATAAGTTTTTTCATTTGAATAGGCTTTGCATAGTCTACGACAATAATAATCGAATAACTGGTTGGGGGTAGGTCTAAATGATGATGATACTATAATTAATAAGGTTCATTGTCATCCTCGAGTATATGGCTGACGATTGATGTAATTAAACACTGTCAGAGTATTGACTGGAATTGATTTATTTTTAGTTTTGTGTTGTTTTTCAGCTTTAAACTGTAGATGACTACAATTCAATTAATCAGATTAATTTTTTAATTACTATTGAAATAGTTTATTCGTGTATCACAATTCAATGTTATAAGGATTTAGTTGTTAGTTTTACTGTCAAAGATCTTTGCATCACAAAAAGAAACTGGTTGTTTTTTTTTTCTTAATGAACTGGATTTATTTTATTTAATAAATAAATATAAATCAACTTATCATAAAAGTATGATTTTTCTTTAAAAAGTAGCTTTTATAGGTGATTTGTTGAACAAACTATAGAGATATTGCCGTTCGTTATTTGGAATATTATTATTTGTAGCAAAAAAAGTTTTTAATGATCTCATATTTGCCATTGGATATGGAATACGATTCAATAGATTATAATTTATTGTTATTCCCGTTAATGTCGATGATAGTTTCATGATTTCAAGTGGAATTGATGAAATTTTATTAAAATTCAATTCTAATTGTTGTAAAGATTTATAATTTCCAATACCATCAATGGATGTCAATGAATTATTACTTAAATAAAGTTCACGAATATAAACAAGTGGTGGTTGAAAAATATTTTCTTGAAATTTATTATTCACCAAATTAAGAACTTGTAAATAAGGTAAATCAGTTGATAATGTTAATGGTAATGCTGATAATTGATTTGATGTCATAACTAATTTTGTTAAAGATTTTAATTTTAAAATACTTTCAGGAAATGTTGTTAATTGACATCCAGACAAATCAAGATTTTTTATTGATGGTAGATCAAAAAATGATATAGTTTTCAATCGAGGACTTGATGTAATCGTAATAGTTGATAACAATGGTGCATTTTCAAATGAAATTAATTCCAAATTTGATAATGAATTTAATTGAAGACTATCTAATCTAGAAAATTTTTTTAATGTTATATTTTTTAATTGTGCACTATTTGTTATTGATATTGTTTGAAGAGAAGATAGATTTTCTATATCTAAAGAAACTAATTCTGTATTTGATGAAATTGTTAATGTTTGTAATGAAGATAAATTTTGTAATATTAATGTTAATAATTCATTATTATATTCAATATCAATTGAATATAATTTTAACATATTTGTAATTTGAATTGTTTGTAATATTAAATTATAAGTTATTTTTAAATCATATAAACTCACTAAATTTTCTAATTGTAAATTATCAACATTCGTTCGAGTTATTTCTAATTGTCGTAATAATTGAAAATTATTCATTGTTGATGGAATATTTGATAAATATGGTAATCCACTTAATGTTAATGTATTAAGATTAGTTAATTTACCAATACTTTCATCAGGTATTTTATTAAAATTTGGCATGTTCTGTAATGTTAATGATTGTAATTGAATTAAATATTTAATTTCATTTGGTAAATCTTGAAGATTTTTAATATTAGATAATTTTAAATTTGATAAAGATATTAATTGTCCCAATTCAGATGGTAAATGTTGATCAATAGTACCATTATCTGTGTCAATACTTAATGATGTTAACTTTTGAAAATTTTTTATATCAGGTAATATTGTTAAATTTGTATTTGATAATTGAAGTCTTTGTAAATTTTTCAAACAATATATACTTGAAGATGGATTAGCATCATTAAATATATTAAACTCTGTAACGTGTAATGTTTCATCATACTTAACGGATGTAGAAAAAAGAGATAGATAAAGTGAAACGTAAAATGGATTTATATTGATAATATCAAGATCATTATCATAGATGGTACAATCAATTTCTGCATTGTTAACTAAATTGAAAATAAAGGAAAATCAAACAACAATTTTTTTCACTAGAAAAATTATTTTACTTTGAACATTGATGGATGAGAGATAAAGAACGAATAATAATGGAAATATTTTCATCGTTGTTATTATTTTCTGCTTTGGACTAGGAGTGGCATTTTATCTTTACTTTATAAAGTAAAGTAAAGTTGGGTTACTTTACTTTACTGGGTAAAGTAAAGT